ACAATGGAAGGCAAAGGACGAGACTCGACCATTTCACTGAACAGACCCATAGCATCATCTAACTTAATATCATGAAGAAACCCATCTCTAATCTTCTCTCTGTAACCATAACTAGCTCCAGAGAAAGCTCGTACCCAGAAACCGCAAATGGAAAACAAGGGAGAAGCAGTTCCAGGCTTACCTTTTACCAATCCCTTCGTAATCGGATACATCTTCTTCTCGATTCGGCTTCAGGTGATTGGGTTTCTTCTCGATCTCTCTGTAAATTTGGATTAGCCCTAAAATGAAGAGTGTGCTTAGCTCTCACTCTCACAGCTCATGAAACCTTTTGGTATTTGACGGTCAAGATTTCATCTTTAATCACTAACCGGTTCACTCTACGGTTCGATTTTTCTAATTTTTTTGGTTTTGTAATTCAAAAGTCTCACTTTAGCAGTGGAAAGGAAACTATTACCAATAGCGTTTATTTACATTTAATTAACAAACTAAAAAAAAAAAAAATTCCGACTAAACAAAGACACTGAGTATAATGAAATCGATTTAACAAGTCAAAATCGATTTGGGGAATTCGGTAAATCATAACCAAACCATTAGAGATAAAACAAACAAAAAACAGTACAAAATTTACATTTCTCGTTATGTCCACTAGTCTTAAACACACCATTAGAGATTTCCTGCAAACCACTTTTCTTATCCGATCACTAGTCAGTTTCTAATCAAACATCTTGAGGGAAAAATACCGACCCCGTCGGCTTTGCGCAATAGTTTTTGGTCCATGCACTTTACTTGGAGACCTCGCTTGCTGCGGATCCTCTGCTCAGCTTGCGACTGCACAAACATACAAGTACTGTCCAGTTCCAACACTTGATTTATGAATTTTTGTGAAGAAAGACAAGGCAACTAATTGTTCACATGTGCAATGAACTGCCCCATGGGAAAACGTCACTGCAAGACTAAAAAATAAAAAAAAAGATTTGGCATAAACTAGAAGATAAAAGATGCGATTCGATATGGGTATCAACAAGAAATGTAATATACCAAGAGATGAAGATTCCTTGGATGGAGTTAACCATTGATTCAACCAGTAAGCAGCTCAAAACTCGGTGACTGAAATTATTGACATTGATCCTAGCAAAAGTCCCTGAGTGCGGCAATCAAGATCCTCAAAAACGGTTGGCATTAGCTTTGGCTCTCTAGCAAAAGTCCCTGAGTCGCAAAATACAATAAAGCAAATACATTTATTTAGCTAAAGATGACAACCACACAAATAGAAAAGTAAGAGGAGACAGCGACTGAGAAAGATTCAGATAGAAACATAAACTAACCTCCATAATACTACAGAATAAGACCCCAGAACGTCTTTAGAGCCTTCCATGAACTTACTCGCAAAGCGATCCCACATAAAATGTTATCTTTTAATGCATTGTCACCCTTGTGCTTGTATCAAGCTTCATTACGTACCAAGAAATGGATATTAACTTGCTCCTAGGAATATATCAGTTAAAACAAAAAGAAAGATGAGTGCTGGTATTACGTGACTAGCACCAGAAAAAGCTCGTTCGAAGCAACAGATTCCGTAAAGGTTAAAGGAAGAAGGAGTCGTTTCAGGCTTACCTTTCTCCTGAAGATTCTGATGAACAAATACCTTCGCTGTAAATGCAATCGTAAACCTCATCATCTCTAACAAACTCCAAAACCTGCAACAAAAGGATTTTGTCACATGAATCACAGCAAAAGTGTTAACCTTGGCTGTAAATGCTACATAGATTCTGGACAGCCTACAAGTCTGCCTATGGAAATCTGCAACACTTTCAATCTTCGGAAGGACCCCAACACATAAATTCCATTGGACCCCAATGGTTCTTGGAGATGTTGACCACTTTGGGAGTTTGAAGTCTTATTGAAGGGAAAAGCATATTGTAGATTCTCATCACTGATCTTGTGTGTTCAACAAGTGTATTGTTTGCAACCTAACAGGAGAATAACAAAGAGAAGAACCAGTTATGTTCTGCATGAAAAAACTTTCTAGCATCAATAACCGAACTTTTTATAAATTCCGAACTTGTTGTATTAGTATGGAAATTCCGAACTTCTAGCATCAATAACCGAACTCTTTATATAACATTGAGAATGTGGTTATGTTCCGAGGTTTGGTTTCAGTATTTTTGATTTTGAGTTGTCTGGTTAGTAACAAAAAGTAATATGACTAGTTTTGGTTCGGTTACTTTCTGGAATCCTTATAATCAATGTTGTATAACATAACAAGAAATTATCATCTTCCGAGCAATCACAAGTAAAGCATAATATAAAAAGTTGATTTACCTACCTGCTTCCAAGTGGAGATGGCTGCTCTACATATCACACCTTCTCTTGAGGATTAACGGTTCTAAGAAAGCATATCGAGAAAGCTTTTGTCCAATCTCCCATCATGCAACATATTAGTGACCAACCCAAAGGTTGAAGCATCTCCACAGAATCCGAAACCCCTCATTTCTTTGATGAGTTTAGCTGATGCTGCTTTGTCACCATCTCGAAGACGTGCCCTAATCAATACATTATATGTACCACTGTTTGGGAGTGGCCCATCTTCTTTCATTTTTCTGAACAAGTCATTCGCTTCTTCCATTAAGCGTTTCCTACATAATCCTGAGATCATTGTATTGTATGTTACAACATTAGGCTTCACTCCTTTGAGGCTGAGGCTACAAAACAAATCCCACCCATCTTCCACCTTTCCAGACTTACACATTCCTTCGATGATAACACTATATGTGAAAATATCGAGTTCCATTTCACTGTTTTGCAAATCTTGGAATATCACCAATGCTTTCTCTAGCATCCCGTTATTGCAAAGACCATCCAACAAAATGGTGTATGTCCGGATACTGGGAGGCACACCATCAGAAACCATTTGTTTGAAAATTTTTTGGGCATTCTCACAATCTCCAACTTGAAAAAACCCTTGGATTAGAGTGTTGTAAGTGATTGTATTGCCAACCGATCCTCTTTGAGACATCTCACGAAAGAGTTTCATGCCATCCTCTACTCTCTTAGACTTGCAAAATCCATT